AGATGTGGGTACTGAGACCCAAATTGAAGTCCTATGGAGGAGCATCAGAAGCACTTTGAACCACTAAGCAATTTCTTCCCAGGGTCCTTTATGGCATTGTCATATGTGTTTTGTTTGGCCCTCCCTCCATTCTCTCTACCTCCCTGTCCCATCTATCTTCTCTGGAGTTGGGGTTCCAGGTAGCTGTGAACCACCTGATGTTGGTGCTGGACACTGAACTTAGATACCTTGGAAGAACATCAAGTGCTCTTAACCAGTCACTATTTCCTCATGTGGATTTTGTTTTTGAAACTGAGTCTTTCTATGTAGTCCTGACTGTCCTAAAACTCCTTATTAGACCAGGCTGGCCTTGAACTCACAGAGAACCTTCTGCCTCCCTCTGCTTCCCAAGTGCTGGAATTAAAGGCATGTGCCACTGTACCCGGTTTTTATTTATTTATTCATTTACTTATTTAAACCACTGCAATCAAGGTGCCTATACAGTATCATCCAGGTCTCAGCAGCTGGCCAGAAGCCATCTCTGCATCCATGTTTTATACTCTGAAGATGAGACAGACTCTAATAATCAACAACAACAGCTAAAAATATAACAATATAGCAACTGAGATATAGACTATGAAAGAGCTGCATAACAGAGATGAGTGTGACCTAAAAGTTTTTGTTGTTATTTTGTTTTTTGTCTTTTGAGGAGTAGGCAGGACAACAAGGATTTCCTTGACTTTCTTGAATGGCAAGTCAACGGCACATGTGGTTCCTTCTAACCACGCCAGCCTCTCCACCACAGAGACTTAGATTAAGTCCTCAGGTCTCCATTTGAAAGAAGGATCCTTTCCAAAGCCCCCACTGACTATCATACTCCACGATGCCACCATGTCTTTCTTAGCACATTTTAAGTATGCTAAAACCTTTCACACCTAAAAACTACTCTATATTCACAAACATATAAAAAGGGAGGGACCACACCTATTTCACAATCTGTGATATTCCCAATGCAAACACAGTCAAACGGCAGAAACACTGTTAGATGAATGGAAGGTCAGGGTTGTCCTAGGCCTTCCGTATCAGCATTACAAGAGTTCTTGAAAGAAAACAACTCTCAGGCTCAACTCCAAACTTAATGAATCAAACTCTGGAGGCACGGAGCCCAACAAACCCTTCCTGATTCACAGTAAACTCTGAGAACCGCTGCCTTAAATATCTCAAGTATCCAATGCATCATAACAAACATTTGAAAATATATACTACAAAGCTTTCTAACAACCATTCAATTATTTAATAAAAATATATTAAACACACTGTGCAAGAAAAACAAAAAGTAACTCCTACTAGTAATTTCCGGCTCACAATAAGCCAGTATTTTCCTTCTTCACCCTCCCATACACTCTTACTGTGCGTACATATTTGAACAAGCAAGAACAACACATGTTAGTTGAACATGAAGTTTAAAGCACAGTAAAGCTGGCCAGGCAGTTGTGGGACATGTTTTTAAACCCAGCACTCGGGAGGCAGAGACAGGCAGATCTCTGTGAGTTTGACACCAACTTGGTTTACAGAGTGAGTTCCAGGACAGGCTCCAAAGCTAAAGAAACCCTGTCTCGAAAAATGAAACAAAACAACAACAAAAAAACCCAATAACGCCCAAGTATCTGCTGTGGTTTGATTGTATTTCCCCCAAATGCTTATGATGAGTGCCTTACGATTCTAGCCTACAAGATGATGCCTTTGAAAAGTGATTAGATCACTGAATGAGACTAGTGCCCTTATTTAAAAGAAGCCCCAGGGAGCAGCCTTGCTTATCCAACAAGTACAGGAAAAACATGCGTCTATGAACCAGTACAAAAACTCCCACTAGACACTGGGCATGGTGGTACATGCCAGGACTCAGGAGGCTGTGGCAGGCAGACACCCTCCAGGTGGAGGCCAGCCAGAACTACATGGCAAACCAGATAGCAAGGCTGCTCAAATAAGGATGCCGGGCAGTAGTGGTGCATGTCTTTAACCCCAGCAGAGGTAGGCGGATCTCTGAGTTCGAGGTTAGTCTTGTAAACAGAGCTACTTCCAAGACAGCCAGGGCTACACAGAGAAATCCTGTCTCGAAAAAATAAAATATACACAACATGTTTAACAAGGGAGGAGCAGTGGGATGTGACTCAGGATATAGCTCAGATGACAGAGTTCTTATCTGGCATGCACAAGGGTCTGGGTGCAACACGGCTCACCTAAAATCTCAGCACTAGGGAGGCTGAGGCAGGTGCTCAGGAGCTCCAGCTTACCCTCCACTACACAGGGCTACACTAAGGCTTTGCTGCAGGGAGCAGTAACAGAAAGGGCTGGGTAAACAGCAGTTGTATAAATGCTGTCCTGGAAAGCATGAGGACCTGAACTCAGATCCTCGGTGCCCAATAAAAGCTGGGCATGGCCATGTGTGCCTGGAACCCTGGTGCTGGAGGCAGAGATAGGCAGATCTCTGAAGCTCACTGGCCAACCAGCCTAGACAAACGGACAAGCTTCAGTTTCAGTAAGGGATCCTGTCCCAAAAAATTAAATAAATAAGAGGATTAGGGAGATAGCTCACAGTGAAGAACACTTGTTGCTCTTTCAAAGAACCAGGGTTCAATTCATTCTTATAACCATGTATAATTCCAGTTCTGGGGTTCTGACACCCTCTTCTGACTTCCAGGCACAAAAGCAGTACACATCATACATACAGGCGTTTTGTATATTAAAAATCTCAAAGAAATTTTAATTAACAAAAAAAGCAACTCTGGTCTACACACACATACATACATGCATATATACATACATATGTACATGAGCACTTACACACGCATGCACGCACACTATACACATGTTAACACACACGAAAAGAAAAGACCTTTCAGACAATGAGTGTGTTGGCACCTGTTCCTGGATATCCTATGCTCCAAAACTCTTACGTTTTTCTTTGAGTAGAAGTTCACCAGCTGGTATTTTGTTATAGCACCCTAAATGGACTAAGACAGTATCTTTCTCACCTCATTTCCTATACACATCCTATTTCCTTCCACCTTCCAGGCAGTAAACAGGAAACCCTTCATTACAAATCTTTTCCCCCCAGAAAAAGGATTTCTCTGTGTAGCCCCAGCTATCCTGGAACTCCCTCTGTAGACCAGGATGGCCTTGAACTCATAGAGTTCTGCCTGCCTCTGCCTTCCTAGTGCTGGGACTAAACGCATACACCACCATACCTGGCTTTCACAACACATCTTAAATTTTGTTCATTCTTCTACTCAAATTTATAATGAAGCTTTCTTCTTCTTTCCCAAACATTGCATATACATTCTATACAAGTTTCAGGCCCAGCTCAAATGACTCTTTTGAATCCCAGTGGGAAGGCCCACATTTCCAAAAGGCCCACATTTCTAGCCATCTGGTATCGTCTCCAGCAAAATGGCTCTTTGGTCTGTCACTATCACGACAGCCCACTATCTTCCTTTTCACACCAAAAGCAAGATGCTTCAGTCTGCTAGGTGCCTCCAATTTCAGTGTGAGACTGTGCTTGTCAGCTGGGGAAATAAGACCAATAATCGAATCATTCAAGTGTCTACCTGATTTGGGCCCTGGAAATAAAGGGAATTAAGTAAGGCACAGTTGTTTCCAAAAATCTAGATTCTACGGGAAGGAACAGATTAGCACACAATGACAGTAATGTCATTCTCCAGAATGACAACGTATGAATGGCAGAGTCAAGGGAGCTAGGGAATATTAATAGTGTTTATATGTTAAATGACCAGACAGTAAATGGCTTTCCTAAAAATTAGATGGAGAAATAAAGAAATGAGGAAACTATGATTAGCCTGAATCCTTTTCAGTAGAATGTATTATTCCTTTGACTAGAATGTAGATCAAAATTTAGCTTATTGTATATGATGGAACGATGTTTTCAATATATATACTGCAAAACACAGGTAACTCAACTCACAAAGGGCTGTAGCCACAGTCATTTTGAAGCAGAAGGAAAATGTGCAAAGGAAAGGTCCCTCCAAGAAAGGGCGGAAAGGGCAAAACAAACGCACCTTTAGAAAAGGAATTCTGAAGACTGTCACAATCTGCCTGCCAAGCTGATGTTCAGACCTCAGACGCCCTTGGTCTTTGCCTCCCAACAAAAACAAATCATTTGTTCTGAGCAGTAACTGTCATGTTTGCAAATTTAAAAAGGCTTTTAATTTCCAGAACTGTAACTCCACATGCAAACACACTCGAAACAAAAATTTTCAAAGCCTTTTTAGATATATCTGTCAAAAGGCCAGATGATCACATAAAGACACAATATGTTATCTGTAACACACTATCACTCAATTTATTGCAGTGACACTAGGTAGTAAAGCTTCCAGACTCCATACCTCCAATCTCCCCCCTTCTGCCCTCCAAAACAGAAAAGGGAAAGGCAGGCTTCGAATCTGTACGTGCCCGCCCAACAGCTCCCGGGAAGCAATCGCCTTCAAATTGTTCCTGCTTAGCCCCCTGAAGTCTGAAGAAGGAAAAAGGGACAGATGTGCGAGCCGGCGACGGGGGACATCCGACAAGGGGCAGAGGAAATGCGGATGGTCGAGGACCAAGGGGAAGAGGGGGCGGCGGAGATAAAATGGTGAAGGGGGAAGGGGGACGAGAAGGGAAAGCAAGCAAATGCGGGAACGAAAAACAGGGAGGAAAAAGGGGGCTAACGATCACAGAGGAGAAAGGGAGAATGGCTGAGGAGAAAAGGGAAGGGTTAAGGACGGGGGTTGGGGGGGGGGATGAAGAACGCGAAGAAGGCTGTCACGGGGGGACAAAAGGGTGTCACCAGAGAGGAGGGAGATTAAAGGATGTCCCCTAAAGGGATTCGCTCCTGCTGGATGGGGAACGACGGGCCGGAGAAGGCGGAGACCGGGGGGTGCGGGAAGAAGGGTGAGAGGCTAGGCTGCCCGGTGTCCTCGGGCCACCCGGGGATTGTGGGGGGTAAGCAGGCCGCGCTAGCTCACCATGGCTGCGTGGGCCTGGTCCTCCGGCATGCAGTCTCGGTCCTGCGTGCGGCGGCGGGCCGAGCCCGAGCCCACCCCTAAGATCAGCCGGCGAGGGGGCTCCAGGAGGCTCGGGTCGGGCAGCGGCTCCGGGCTGGGCCCAGGCCTCGGCCTCGCTCCCCTGAAGTACACCACTCCAGCCGCAGCCGCAGCCGCAGCCTGACCGAAACACAGACTCCGCCTCGCTCGCCGTGCCCGCCGCGCCCCGCCCCCCCGAGGACCCGCCCCTTTGAGACTCCGCCCCGTCTTAGCAAAGACTCCCTTCTCAAAGCGTGACTCCTTAAAGCTTTTCTGACAGGAAGAGCTTTAAACCAGGAGACTGCAGTTCTGGTCCATCGCTCACGCTCATATTTTTAAAATTTAGCTTCTGATTCCCGGTCATTAATTATTGTTGTCATCATTCTTGATGATTTCAGCATTCTGTTACATGATTTTATTTTGTTTTGTTGTTTGGTTTGGTTTGTTTTCTGAGACAGGGTCTCTCTACATAGCCTGGCTGTCCTGAATTCATTATGAAGACCAGTTTGGCTTGGAACTCACAGAGATCCTCCTGACTCTGCCTCCTGAACGCTGGGAATTAAAGGCATACCCCACCACACTCGGGGAATGATTTTTTTTTCTCAAATACTTTTTTTCTTTTTTTGAGAGGAGCTATGTAGCCCTGGCTGGCCTAGAACTCATGTTGTTCCAGGACTAGCCTGGAACTTTAGAGAGATTCACCTGCCTCTGCCTCCCGAGTGCTGGGATTAAAGGCGTGCGCCACCACTGTCCAGCTCAAATACTTATTAAAGAAATTATACGGGGCTGGGGTGATAGCTCAGTAGATAAGAGCACTGGCTGCTCTTCCAGAGGACCCAGGTTCAATTCCCAGAACCCACATGACAGCTCAAAACCTTCTGTAACTCCAGTTCCAGGAGATCTGACGCTTTCATATAGACATACATGGAGGCAAAACATCAATTGCACGTGAAATAAAAATAAATATTTGTTTAAAAAAAAGAAATATTTATTTATTTTGTGTGTATTTGGGTGTGTATGGGACATGAGTTCCTATCGATGTCAGAAGATTTCCAGTTGAGCGAATCAGTTTTTTTCCACCATGTTGGACTTGAGAACTCAACTCAGATAATCATTTTCGGGGGCAAGCACCATTAACCGCTACATCATCTGACCAGTCCTAAGTCGTGATTATTTTTAAATTTTATTTTATGAGTACGGGTGTCTTGCCTGCATATATCTCTGTACACCTCTTGTGTGTTGGTGCCCATTAGGCCAGAAAAGGGAAACAGAGCCCTGAAGCTACAGTTGCATAGTCATGAGCGGCCATGTAGGAACTGGAATTGCACCAGTGTTCTCTGGAAGAGCAGCCAGTGCTTTTAGTGGCTGAACTCCCTCTCCAACCAAAGATGTTGGATTTTTGCAGTGCCCCGACCTTTCTGGCTCCTCTACTCTGGGGATCACCCTTGTTCCTGCCTCTCATTGCCACATTTCTTACTACCAATGACTGTGATTTCTCGAGAAGTCCATTGGTATTTTTTATTTATGTATGCATTTATTGTGATGCCGAGGATGAGCCTAGGGCCTCTAATATACTAGACAAGTGTCCTTCCTGCCTGAGTCCCATCCTCTGGCCCCACAATCTCAGTTTTGACTGCCTTCTACTCCTTAGCCTCCTGTCTTTCTAGCTCACTCTCCAATACTCCATCAACTCACGCAGGACCTGAAAGCCACTGGCCCACTTCTTTCATTATTTCCTCTCACTGCTTTCAGCAGCTCGCTTCAAAAATTCATTTAGTGCCTGTAGCCCATGATGAAAATCGTGGCCAGCATTCCTTTCTTTCTTCATCCTTTCTCTCCTTTATACTATCAAAAAAGCTCCAGGTGCTGCAAGATGAACCTGGCTTCAGTTCTTAGCACCCACGTGGCAGCTCACTACCATGGATAACTACAGTTCCAGGGGATCTGATACCCTCTTCTGGCCTCTGAGGGCACCAGGCACGCACATGGTACGTAGATATATATGCAGGCAAAATACCCGTGCACATAGAAGAAATAATAATATTTTTTAACCGGTCAGTGGTGGCATAAACTTTTAATCCTAGCCCTCAGGACACAGATCTCTGTGAGTTCAAGGTCAGCCTGATCTACAGAGCTAGTTCCAGGACAGCCAGGACTAAACAGAGAAGGCCTGTCTCAAAACAAAACAAAACAAAACAAAACAAAAAAAACCAGAACAAAACAAAAGATCCTGTATCCAACTAAAAATTTACCAAAAAAAGGATCTGGGGTATAACTTCAATTTTTCTTCAGGGTCAGACCTATATTTTTGTACAATAGAATAAAATAATTCTATTGAATTATAATTGAATATAATTTCAATAATATTGAAAAATAATTTTAGGTTTTGTTTTTGTTTTTGTTTTGAGATAGGATTTCTCTGTGTGTAGCTCTGACTGTCCTGGAACTTGTTCTGTAGACCAGGCTGTCCTCAAACTCACAGAGATCTACTCGCCTCTGCCTTCCAAGTACGAGGATTAAAGGAGTGCATCACCACCATATGGTTAGAAAAATAAAAATTTAAGAACAGGTAAACTGGCTGGAGAGATGGCTTAGTGATTGTGATTGCTCTTTCAGAGGATCCGAGTTCAACTCCCAACACACCTAGCAAACTGTCTGTAATTCCAGTTCCAGGGTATCTGACACCCTCACGCAGACATACATGTAGCCAAAACATCAATGGATGTAAAATAAACATACATTTAAAAATAATAAAAATAAAAACAGGGATATCAAGCATAAACTCTGTGTGTGTGTGTGTGTGTGTGTGTGTGTGTGTGTGTGTGTGTGTGCATGTTTTCTTCTTACCCCACTTACCCACTTTCAAGTGTACAGTTCAGGTAGCATTAAGTACCGCTGTAACCATCACCAGCCATGCCACCCCAGATCGGCCACTTGTTTGTTTGCTTTCATTTTGTAGTACTGAGAGAATTAACCCCAGGGCTTTGCAGGTACCGAGCAAGAGTCCTCTTCTTGGGCAACATCCTCAGCTGCTCGGAAGTCTTCTGCTCTTACAAAACAACAAGTCTGTGCCCATTAAATAGTAACTCCCCATTCTCTCTCACCAGCCCTTGGCAAGCACTAGGCTACTTTATTGTTGAGGTTGTCGCAGCACTGAATGTTAACTCGATGGCCTCACACGTTGTGCAAACTCTCTACCGCTGAGCCACACCCCAAAGCTAGCATAGTCCTGTTTTTTAATCTCTGTGATTTTGATCATTCTAGATCAGAGGTGTGTATTTGTTTATGTGTATGGCTAGGGATTGAGCCTATGGCCTCCAGCAGGTCAGGCATGCTAGGCAAGTACCCTACCACTGAACTGTATGTTCACCCAGTCAATGATGATGATTTGTTTTGCTTTTTGTTTTGTTGAGACAGGGTCTTATTATGTAGCCCTGGCTGGCCTGCAGCTCATTATAAAGATCAAACTGGCCTTCAACTCACAGAGATTCGTTTAATTCTGCATCAAAAGTGCTGGAATTAAAATTGTGTATCAACACATGTTGTTCTTCTTATTAAAAAAAAGAATTGGGGTCCAGGAAGTGTCGGTGCACACCTTTAATACCAGCATTCAGGAGACAGAGCCAGGTGGGTCTCCGTGAATTCCAGGCCAGCCTGTTCTACACAATGAGATCTAGACCAGATGGGGCTACACAGTAAGATCTTGTCCTAAAACAATAACAAAAAATGGAGCTAAAGTTGATGTGTAGTCAATGAAACCAATTAGAAAGTTCAAAAATATATCCGATATACATGGAAATATAACATAATCAAGACACAATGCCAATCGAGGCCAGCCTGTTCTACAAAGCAAATTCCAGGACAGGCAGGGATGTTACACAGAGAACCCCTGTTTTGAAAAATAAACGAACCAAAAAGATATAACACCAAATCAGTAAGAAAAGGGTGGGATTATATTTGGGGTTGGGATAACTAGTCAACTATCTAGTAATTGTTAACATGAATCTACACAACATGCTACTCAGGAAGATAAACTGAAATGTAAAGAAAAAAGCAACAAAAACACTGGGGGAAAATTTGTTTCATTTTGTTTTTGTCTTTTGAGACAGGGTTTCTTTGTGTAAGAGAAATTTTTTATACTCTCAGCAGGAGGAAAATATTTTTAAATACAAAACAAAACCTAATTCCATTACAGAGGGGCTGGGAGATGGTTCCGGGGCTAAGAGCTCAGTCTGCTACTGCAGAGGATCTGCGTTCCCAGCACTGTTTATATCCCCAGCTCCAGGGAATCTGATGCCTTTGGCCTCAAAGAGAACCCATATGCACACAGTTAAAAATAAAATAAATCTTTTTTAAAAATGCAATAAAGAAAAATTAATACATTTATATTGATGTGGGGTATTCACCAGAGAAGACTACTCGGACATGGATTTAAGCCAATAGAAAGTCTATTTGATGGTTGGCAATCACTGCATGGTAGGGCTGCTCGCCTTCAATTCCAGCATTCGGGAGATAGAAATAGGTGAATCTCAGTGAGTTTGTGGCCAGCCTGATCTCCAGAGAGAGTTCTAGGACAGGCTGCAAAGCTATAGGGAAACCCTGTCTCAAAAAACAAATCAAAGCAAAGCAAAGTCAAAAGATGGCTGGCAATTACACTGGGTGCTTGGGATCCCAGTGTAGCAACAAGCCTTTCTCAGGGTAAACTTGTAAGGACTAAAACCTTGTCCTGGGTTGACATGCTTCAATTAACAAGAACAATTAGTCAGACACACAACTACAGAAACTGTAAAGCAAGGTAAGTACTGTTGTAGAATATTTGTTTACAGTATAAAGATGTGTCACTGCTTAAAGTGCCTTCTGATTGGTTTAATAATAAAGAGTTAAATGGCCTATAGCTAGAAGATGATAGACAGGACTTTTATGCAGAGCGAGAGAGAGAAACTGGGAGAGGAATCTAGGCACAGGATGTTGCTGGCAGACACAGAGCAAGTTGGATGTGCCATACTAAGAAGAAGTAACCAAGCCACATGGCAGAATATAGATTCAAAAATATACAGGTTAATTAAGTTATAAGAGCTAGCAGGGAGGGGAGCAAAGAAAAATGTAGAGCTCAATAAAAATCAATTAAAAAAAGTTATAAGAGCTAGTTGAGGAAAAGTGTAAGCTAA